TCTGGGACTCTTTTTTCATTAGATAACATAGTTCTGACTGCATTACAACCAAGTTGATGTGGAATAATAGTGTATAAAGAGGTGACATCGCATGTCACAAGTATAAAATCTTGTTCCCAATAAAATCCATTTAAAAAATTTAATAGTGACATTGAGTCCTTTAGATAAGATTTCATGAGTTTGACTGCAGGTTGGAGTAGGGTGTCAATGTATTGAGATAAATTGCATAAAGGGGAATTAATTCCAGACACTATAGGTCTGCCGGGAGGGTGTTGAGCATCCTTATGTATTTTCGGCAGAAAATAAATTACCGGAATTTGGGGATTCTTAATAAATATATAGTCAAATTCTTTTTTCTTCAAAATATTTTCTTCTAATCCCTTTTGTAAGAAGGTATTTAATTTTTGTTGTATGTCTGGTGTTGGGTCATTGGATAATTTTTCGTATACATCAGTATCATTCAGCTGTCTGTAAGCTTCTTTAATATACATAGCACTTGATTGGATAACAAGACCCCCACCTTTATCTGCAGGTTTAATAACAATGTCTTTATCTTCTTGGAGTTGTTTCATTGCTGTTTTTTCTAATCTATTTAAATTTTGGGTGTCATATTTGCTATACTTGATCTTATTAAAATCTTTTAGTACGGATTTTTCAAACATCACAAGAGGTGCTGATTTAAAATTATAAGGATAAAAAGTAGATTGAGGTTTTAAATCTGTATTAATGTATGTAGGTGTATCTGTAGGGATTTGAGAGGAAGGAAGGGGGGGATTAGTGTTAGCGTCATGTGAATTATAAAATCTTTTTAGAGTAGCTTTGCGTATAAATTTATTAACATCTAAAAATGCCTCAAATGGTTTAAAAGAGTTGGTCGGAGCATATTTTAGCCCTTTACTTAAAACTGAAATTTGTGCTGCACTTAAAACTTTTCGTGATAAATTAAAAATGCCGATGTCTGATTCTTTGGGGGCAGTTATTGTCTTTCTAGTCTCTCTTTTTTGTTGTCTTCTACCACTTCGTTTGCCTCTGGGCTTAGAGGTCTTTTTTGGTCCTTATTGGGTACGGTGTGTTTGTGAAAGTGTGTGGATGTGTCTGAATCTCTAAAAAATTATCATCACTATCTATTTCTGAATCAATGGATAGTAGTTGGTACCTGTTTGTATGTGAGATAGGAGTCGCTGAGTGATTCTTGTAGTAGTGACTGGGTTTGTGAGTTTTAGGTGAGTGATTTTGGATATCTGGGCTCCGTGCGTTGTAGTAGTTGTGACGAGAGTCATAGTGTGTGGAGGTGTTGTTGAAAGTTCTACGTGGTTTGAATGATGTAGGTTTGTGGTATGAAGTTGAGGGTGCATAACCAGAATTGTAATTCCTGTAGTGAAATTTTTGCTTATGTGGAGAGTAATGTGAAGGTTTGTGTAATGTGGGAAAGTGGTTGTTGGGGACATATGGAGACACATGTCGTGTATTGAATGTGGTCGGTTTGTGATATTGTTGTGATTCTGTCCTCATATTTGAGGATGGGTTTTCTGACGTATATCTTTTCTTTAGGTGGTATGTCCTAACCTGTCTGTTAGCATAATCTTGTTTGTCCCTTATGTATTTTTTGACTTTAATATGTTTCGTGTCAATTTCTATTTTTTCAATTTTACTTTGAATTAAAACTGAGTTCTGTTGATATACATTACTTTCTGTGAAGGGCATAAGTTTTTCTTTAAGGTCATTGATTTCCCTATCCAGATTGGACAGTTTTTTACTCTTTTTCTTAATTAGGGTGTCCATAAGGCCAAATGTGCAAGTTTCCAATTTACTGTTCCACTCGTCCATAAATTCCAGATCATCTTGATCTGAAGTGGGTAATTTCATAAGTCTTAGGCCACGAGGTGTTATATGTTCGTCAATATATTTTTTAAAAGTAGCAATCTCCCATTTGAGTTTAATTTCTACTGTTAGAGCCCTTTCTAATTTGATAAATAATTCTTGTTGAGAAAACATTGGGGTCCTAACATAGATAGGACTATTCGGTTGAGTAGAAAATACATGGTCTATATCAATAGTATGATTGGTCCTATAATCAAAAATAGACATATTAAAAGCAGCTAAAACCGGAGGGATATTAATACAGTACAGAAAAAGTCAAAAATAGGTAAGCGCTAATAATATATAAAAAAAAAAAAAAAAGTAGGCAGCCCCCAGCTATGCCAACCTCTTTATGGCCGACTGGGAATCCAGTGCCATTTGGGGGCGGCATGCATGGGAGCAAAACCTGGTCTCCTATTTTAGATATATTGATGATTTGTTTTTTATATGGAAAGGTTCGGAAGATTCACTTAATGCTTTTATTTCACATCTTAACTCAAATAATAGAGGAATTGTTTTAACATGCGAGTACAGTAGAGATACAATTAATTTTCTAGACTTAAGTATTTTTATCAAAGAAGGAGTAGTGCATACAAAAACATTTTTTAAAAAAGTATGCACCAATACAGCAATTGATCTGACTAGCTGTCACTACAAGCCATGGCTTGAGAGCGCCCCCAAAAGCCAATTTCTACGTATGCGTCGAAATTGCTCTCACATTGATGACTTTAAAGAACAATCATTGTTTTTAAAAAATCAGTTTATTGAAAAAAACTACTCATCCACACAATTAGATAACATTATAGAAACAGTAAGGAACAAACCCAGAGAAAACCTTTTAACTTATAAAGATAGAAATATCTCAGAAGCCCCTACCCTTCCTATAATTTTTAACTATAATAACAAAAGTGGTTTTATCAAAAAAACGATTAAAAAACACTGGCACCTCCTAAGACAAGATGATCTCTTTAAAGAAACATTACCGACTCAGCCAAAAATTGTTTTTAGAGGTGCACCCAATTTTAGATCTATCTTAACCAATAACTATACCAGAGAAGTTAAAAATACACAACCTACTTTTCTTAATGGAATGACGGGTTTTTATAGATGCAAACGTTGTATTGTGTGTAAAAGTACTAATCCCGCTACCCATTCCAAAGTTACCAGTTTTAAATCGAATGTAACTAACAAAAACTATATTATAAAAGATTTTATTGGATGTAACACTACCAATGTTATCTACCTATTGGAGTGCCCTTGTGGCCTCCAATATGTGGGTATGACTACCAGATGCCTTAAAACAAGATTAGCAGAACACTGCCGAAATATAAAAAATGGTTATGCCAACCACTCTGTATCAAAACACTTTGAAAAACACAATCGGGATCCTAAATTTCTTAAATGTATCGGAATAAAAAAATGCAAAGTCCCATGGAGAGGTGGCAATATAAAAAATATTTTAGGTAAAAATGAGATGGAGTGGGTATTTAATCTACAGACGTTAGCCCCCCAAGGCTTAAATGTGGATTTTGATTTATTTAACTTTTTATGATTTTATTCACTTTATCTTTATCTTCCTTATTGTGGTCATTTTGGGGCTATCCTATTCATAGTTGTTACCTACGGCATTATAGTCTAGGATACCCCCAATCTGACCACACTATAGATATTTTAATTATAATATATATATACATGTCATCACAAAAATGTATGTATTTCTTGTTATTCCTTGAGATATATATTTTATATTTTTTATATATATTTTTTACTTATATATGTGCTTATAAATATGCTGCTATTATATTAACTCATTACTATATGAGGATTATTTATGCTGATACCCTTTTGTATGTCTTTTATCAGTGGTTTTTCTTTTATTCACTTGCCTGTCTTATGTACATTATGATTGTGTTCTAATATGATCGTTATTCTAAATATATGCAGTGTATTTTCCATATTCTGCTCGTTTTCCCATCTAACTACATTTCCCAGGTGCCTAAGCGCCGATCACGTGACCCGTGCACTACACTGCTTGTGTATGCCGCGGGTCACGTGACGTCACACGCACCCGCCTCCAAGACGTTTACACCGCCCATTGCTGGGACGGCTAATATGAATGTCTGTGTGCGATCACGTGACCCGCGCACTACATTTCCCATAGTGCCGCGCGGGTCACGTGACGCGCTACAACAATATTTAATTCCAACTAAAAGCTTCGTTTTTCATATGTACAATGCATAATATGATTGTGATACACATATTTTCACTCTTACTCATTACAATCTCTGTTTTATGTGCTTCTCAAAGTTTTGTTATCCATGAACATTATGCTTGATTCTGATTGGTTAAAGCTAATTGATGCTGTTTTTGGCGCAATTTTTAAAGTACTAGTGTCCCTATATATATTTTATTCTTGCCAGGTTCTCATGTTATACCATTTTGATAAAACCCTAGTGGTGAAACGCGTTAATGGTTTTTATTGTGTATTTTAAATAATAAATTAAGTTTGGCTATATTCTTGTGCCATCTATATTATTATTTTATTATTTTTACACATAACCTTTTTTTTACTACCTATTTCCTGGCATTTTATATATATCCTGAGGTGGGGATTATACCGCCCACGCGACATTCCAAGTGCAGTGATATCTGCACTCTATTTGTGAGTATATTTCCTATTCTTTTTATTTTTATACCACATTATATTATCAGAGAGCACTATTGGCTGTTCCTATTTTTCCTTTTCCTGAGAGTTGGACACCGTCATACTCCAAGAGGACAAGCATTCGTTATATCCTACAAGCAGGGATTATTCTGCTGAAAACCCATTACCCCTGAGCTGGTCATAGCTCATGATAATGTGAGTGCATTTCATCTTCTTATTTTATATCTACACATTTTATACATTCTGCACGATTGGTCCTTTCCCTTTGTGTTTTCCATATCACGAGACGATCTGAAGTATCACAGACAGAGGAAACACTTTACCAGTGGAAATTGTGGAACAGACACTTCTACCCTCCAACATATATTGGGACTCATTTTATTTTATTTATTTATTTTACTTATTTTTTCGTTTTATTTTGGCGCTACCTTTCTTCCTGTTTTACCCCACCATGCACTGCTTCCCTAATACCCACACATAACCCATGCCCCCACAATGCACTGCTTACCTAATACCCACACATAACCCGTGCCCCCACCATGCACTGCTTCCCTAATACCCACACATAACCCATGCCCCCACAATGCACTGCTTCCCTAATACCCACACATAACCCTGGCCCCAACAATCAACTGTTTCCTCTAATACCCACACATAACCTATGCCCCCACAATGCACTGCTTCCCTAATACCCACACATAACCCGTGCCCCCACAATGCACTGCTTCCCTAATACCCACACATAACCCGTGCCCCCACAATGCACTGCTTCTCTAATACCCACACATAACCCTGGCCCCAACAATCAACTGTTTCCTCTAATACCCACACATAACCTATGCCCCCACAATGCACTGCTTCCCTAATACCCACACATAACCCGTGCCCCCACAATGCACTGCTTCCCTAATACCCACACATAACCCGTGCCCCCACAATGCACTGCTTCTCTAATACCCACACATAACCCTGGCCCCAACAATCAACTGTTTCCTCTAATACCCACACATAACCTATGCCCCCACAATGCACTGCTTCCCTAATACCCACACATAACCCGTGCCCCCACAATGCACTGCTTCCCTAATACCCACACATAACCATGCTCCTCCTAATATCCACACATAACCCAGGTCCCCACAATAACTTGCCCTCCCTGGTTAATTAACTGCTTTCTCTAATACCCAAGCATACTCTTGGTCCCCACAATGTACTTCTCACCTTAATATCCACTCTTGACCCTGCCCCCCCCTAATACCCACAAATATCATTGGGCTCCATGATGCATAATTCTGGACATCTAAAGCACTGACGTTAATCCTCCTGCTATACACTGCAATGTCTCACATATGTAGAGACTGCCAGTATACTTATATTAAAATAATACATTAGTATAATTATAAAAAATGGAAACATTTTTGAAAAAGGTTTTTTTTCTGTTTAACCTATTTTTGCAAAAATATTTCTGACAATTTCTAAAAAAACAAACCTTTTCGTGTCCCCCCTTAAGCCAGATGATGTAAAGATTGCCCCAATTACTGGAATCCTCCATTCATTAACAGTACAAAAAAATAATTTCCATGGAAAGATTTGATGCGAGATGTGCAGCGGAAAAGCTCTCCCAGTGAAGAAAAACAATCCAGTGCTTTTATATTTCAAATATATATTAATATAAATATATATTCATTAATATTTTATTAATTTAAGCTTTGTAAGAAAAATATCATCCAAACTGACTTTTCTAAATTGTAAATAAATCTCTCTAGCAGCCATGGATTATAATGGTCACATCCAAAACCTATTTGTAGCTGTATACATAGATACATACATACGTGTACTTTGTTTATTCTGATGGATAGTAAAGATGTATAGTTTATTCATAATTAAAAAGAATAATTTGTTCTAAATATTTTGATCAGATTGGTGAATATTTAGAACATGCCATGTATACAACATAATATAATCAGATCCCATACTAATGGATTCAAACTAGAAGGTCAAAAATGGGCTATAAAGCCATATATAGAAAATGTGGTAAAAGCCAAACAGTATATATAAAACTGAGCCAAAGTATGGTGTAATTGTATCCATGGGTCCCTGCACATACAGTGCTCCCTACACCCTAGAGCAGTGGTTTCCAAACCAGTCCAGGATTTAGGGAGCACACCGTGTTGTCTAAACTGCTTTTAGAAAGAAAATAAAAATAAAAACCAAAACCACATTGACACAACTTGGAAATCCCCAATTCCTGGACTGGAAGGCGTGCCGTGAGAACTGCTTTAGAGGGTGTTCTGCTTTCATGCGCCAGAGCGTTATATTATTTGTTAGCAAACGTATTGCAGCACGAATTGTATTCATTTAGTCAGAGCTAGACATTTAAAGGATCACTCTAGGCACCCAGACCACTTCAGCTTAATGAAGTGGTCTGGGTGCCTGGTCCAGCTAGGGTTAACCCATTTTTTTTATAAACATAGTAGTTTCAGAGAAACTGCTATGTTTATAAATAGGTTAATCCAGCCTCTAAAGCCTCTAGTGGCTGTCTCATTGACAGCCGATAGAGGCGTTTGCGTGCTTCTCACTCGGAAAATTACAGTTCGAAGACGTCAGCGTCCATAGGAATGCATTATGAATGCTTTCCTATGAGACTGGCTGAATGCGCGCGCAGCTCCTGCCACGCATGCGCATTCAGCCGATGACGGAAGAAGAGGGAGGAGAGGAGGAGGAGAGCTCCCCGCCCGGCGCTGGAGAAAGAGGTAAGTTTAACCCCTTCCTCCCCCTAGAGCCTGGCGGGTGGGGGCACCCTCAGGGCACTATAGTGCCGGGAAAACGAGTATGTTTTCCTGGCACTATAGTGGTCCTTTAATAAGCTTTATTCGAGGAATAATCCAAACACTATTACCACAGTAGCATACTCGTGTCTGAGTGCCCTTGCGCACTCCCGGTGTACATAGTCAAACTGTTGAAGACCCTAATTTGATGGGTTATACATTCCTAAAGGAGTGGCTATAGGAGACAGGTCAGAAACGCAGAGGCAATCTGTTTTTTATTTATTTATCAGGGAGTTAAAAAAAAAAAAACCCACAAGGATTAGAAAGATTTATCTCTGGAATTAAAAGTTTCTCAAGCACCATAACTACTACAGCGCACAGTAGTGGTTTGAAAACTTACATGGGTCTCTCGGGCCCAGAAGTTCTCTGCCTGAAATCAGCCCAGCGTTCTCAGACTGATCTGGCCTTGGCTGAGAAGTCAAATTATTAGCAAATAATAAAGAACATTACCACTATAGTGCACTGTAGTTGTTATGGTACTTTGGGTGTTCTTTAAAAAAGCAGAGCTGCAGGAATATGGTCTTTGCAGCATAACAATTTCAGTAAGATGAAGTGCTTATGGTGCTTAGAGCGATCCCTTAATTGTGCAAATATTCCTGGAGCTTAATGGAGAAACCAAGGAATTTTACCGCCAGCATTTTAATAAAATATTGTATGTGTGCATTGTTGCTGAAAAATAAGTGATTGCGCTGCTAACATTTTCTGTTTTGGCCTCTGAATTATAAATGCAGATAGTCATCGGGGGGGGAAAAAAGTACACCCTCTTTGAAATCTATGAATTCAAAGAGGGTGTACTTTCTTTTTTCCATAACTGTATTTGCCATGTGCCTATGTGCAAGTGCTGTAATGTAAGCTCAAGTACTGTCCATCTTGTTTTTGTTTCTTTTTTTGATTGTATCTCAGGTATATGCATGAGTCTCGTCTCCGGTTCTCTACAACGTTGGGCTGTTATAATAGCGGCTTGTGTAAGTTTGTATCCCCACTTCTTCATACACCAGCACTACGCCAAGGGCTGGACATTGCTTGGAAGGCATTTCTTCCATATCCTTTTTACTAATGCACGTTACGTATACACATTGAAAGCGTGCTTTTACTGGGAACAGTGTATCAAGATTATTCTTGTTTTTTCGTATGTTAGCTGAGGTTATTTATTTATTACTGGTATTTATAAAGCGCCGACATATTCTGCAGCGCTGTACAACTAGGGCAGAACATACAATATACATAGACAAGAAAAAAAGGTATAAAGGTTAATATTTTCTATATCTCCTGGGTAAAAAGCTGAATTGTTTCTGCTCAGAGTAGACTCTGCTGTCTTAAGGTCTGAACAGGTGCTGAAGTTAATGTCATAACCAACTGTATATAATCCGTCATTTCAAGTCTAGTTTGTAGAATGTTAGACCGTAAGGGTTATGTATAATACTGTTTGTGTGTTAAAATAAGTGTCTGTGCTTAAGTATAAACAGATGCTACAAAATAGTCAGATTTCTCTAGGTTACTGCAATGACATGAATGCAAACTATTTAACTAATTAACTGTTCGTTCTCCACCTGCTGCAGTAAGGGTTAATCGCCACTATTCTCTGTTTGTCCCTCATCAGGCAGTGGTGCTCTGTATGACCCCATTTCTGCTGAGAATTGTGGGATTGCGAGCTCTCTCCATGGCTTCTGAAGCTTACACTGCAGGATCTTTCTCCGCTGCCTATGTCACCTGCCCCAGTGACAAGGTGGCAAAAGACATTGCCCGGTATGTATTTCAGGATGGATTGTGTGCAGATAGACATCTTATATGGGGATCAACACTGTTAATGTAGTGACAGCATTATACCTGTATATCTTATCAATCTCTATTTACGCTGCTAGAGCCAATCTGTTATCTATTCACCATCCATATCACAAAACAATTAACAAGCCTCTGCGGCAAGTGACCATAAACATACATTGTTCTCCTTCTTGTGACATCAAGAAACTCTCCATTAGACACATGCTCCAAAGCTTGGCAAGGCAAAGTAATTGTTTAGTATTGGAGATGGCCAAGAACATGACATTGCTATAAGCCTATTGATGAAATCCAACCGAGCACCTTTCCATAGACCGTGTTACCAGCTGTGTATTGTGCACTGCACTCTCTGACTGCACCAAATTCTTCTGGAAACTTGCCCCAAAAAAGACAAGGGAAATAAAGTGTGTTCTGCCAGCAGCTCCAGGCTGGTCATCCTGGATCCCCATGTTCTAATGGTTAGATTTGTTATATAAGAATTTACCTGTTTGTGTATCAACAGGATCTATCATTCCGATAACATTTGTTGTTGTCTCACGCAGGGGCATTGTGGAGAAGAAGCTGGCAGCCTGTGTTAACATTATACCACAGATAACGTCCATGTGAGTTCTGTAGTGTCCCTCTAACTATCTCACTGATACCGAGAGCTCTGCAGTGCTAATGGTTCCCACCTCCGTCTTACCTTCATGGTCTGTCTCTGTCTTTCTCTGAGTCTGTTTCCACTGTTTGTAATGGCCACAACCTCGCCATCTGTGTTTATCTATCTATGTAAATATATACTCTTATCGTTGCTCCTATATTTCAATACAATGTTAAACACAGATCTGCACACCCGTCAACCATAAGACTTGCTTTTCCGACAGAAATCCACATCACAGTAAATTTGAGATTTCTGTGGGAAAAGCAAGTCTTGTGGCTTGACTGGTGTGCAGATTTGTGTTTAACATTGTATTAACTATCCACAGACTTCAGGTGGAAGGGGTTTTCAATCACAGTTTTTCCCCACCACAACTTTCTTGTTTTTTGTTCCTTTGTTCCCATAGATATGAGTGGAAGGGGAAGATCGAAGAAGATAGTGAAGTTTTGCTGGTACGCTTGATTTTCCAAATGATCTGATTTTATATCCTTGTAAAGCGTACTTTTCACTTTAGACGCCTCTAACAGTAATAACAATCCGTAATAGCGGAAACTCAGTTACATTTTTAATTAGGGATTCAAAGTCAATTTCTACAATATAGGACAACAAAGTCAAACTGAAAACATGACTGATTTTGGGGAATGTTTCCAATGCAACTAGTTTGGCCTAAAATTTAATCTCACTTTGAATTAATGATAATTCTTACTTCTGGTTGGTTTCTCCGAATGTTTTTGATCTCTGCATTTTGCAGACTCCCCTCTTCTCTATAATATATACAAATGAATAACACACTTGTTCACCACAGTGGGAAATGGTTAAAAATAAAATTACCTTAATACAGGAATAGATTGTAAGAAGATCCCTTGGTCTCCTTTACATACATATACAAAAATACAATCTAAAAATGGAAATAGAGAGAAATAGCAGGTAATGGTGTAGAATCAATGTCACCAAGCAAAGTGCTGAGTAGAATTGCACTCACAAAATAATCTTTGACTGCAGGCACATAAAATATTAAAGATGGAAGGAACTCAGTCCTCTTCTCTTTCTTCCTTAAGAGGGGTTTAAAACAGAGAGACACAAAACATAGTGCACCAATAAAAATAAAATGTATGTAATTTATTTTAGATTGCACTCACAGGATATCTGTAAAATTCAGCTTATCACAATGAAGTCTCTGAACGGACTGTGAAGCTTCCAGATGTTCCTTCCGGTCAGCAGACAAAATAGGATAGCCGAAAAATATAAACAAACTTTACAAAATAAAAACACAAATAAAAGTCCAATAAAAATTCTTGTGCTGAAGTGGTCTCTCCACCTTACGCGTTTCGTTCTCTCGAACTTCGTCAGGGGCAGTTGTGTGACACTATCCTATCCTATTTTGTCTGCTGACCGGAAGGAACCTGGAAGCTTCACAGTCCGTTCAGAGACTTCATTATGATAAGCTGAATTTTACAGATATCCTGTGAGTGCAATCTAAAATAAATTACATACATTTTATTTTTATTGGTGCACTATGTTTTGTGTCTCTCTCTGTGTTTGTGAGTGCAATTCTACTCAGCACTTTGCTTGGTGACATTGATTCTACACCATTACCTGCTATTTCTCTCTATTTCCCCTCCTCTCTCTGTTAACAGGGAGTTCAAAGAGTGCTAATGGATGGGGGATATTCCCTGTCATATGTTATGATCAAAGACTCTGTCTGTGAATGTCAGTGTTCCGAATCAGAATACTCTGCAGCCTGTGATAGCAGCCTTCATACTGATTACACTCAAAGGGACACTATAGTCACCCAGACCACTTCAGCTCAATGAAGTGGTCTGGGTGCCAGGTCCCTCAGGTTTTAACCCTTCAGATGTAAACATAGCAGTTTTCATTTGGGGTTAATCCAGCCTCTAGTGAGTGGCTGTCTTCCGGACAGCCACTAGAGGCGCATCTGCGACGCTGGAGGCACATTTCACCTCCATCGCGCAAAGCGTCCATAGGAAAGCATTTTGACACTTTGAATGCACTTGCCGCACATGCGCATTCGGCTCCGGATGGGGGAGCTGATATCAGCGGGGGAGGAGAGGTCACCAGCGCCGAGAGAGCCCGGCGCTGGATTAAGGTAAGACCCTCAGGGCACTATAGTGTCAGGAAAACCGCTTTGTTTTCCTGACACTATAGTGATCCATTAACGTCTGTATCTCACAATTCTAATCTGCCACATGTACGCTTCATCTGTATTTCTTACATAGATCTATAAAGGAGTTATGAATAGAACAATTGTGGGGCTTAAGTGTAAAAGTTGATTAGTCAGCCAGAGCAATCCTTTGGTTTCCACGGTGATAGCTCCACTTTTAGAACAAACATTGCCCCTGAATTGCTTTATGTACATAGTGTGTGACATCTAGAAATGAAGCATCTCCTGTATATTGATTACTCAATAATGGTTGATTTATGTCCCCTTCTTGCCAGTAGATGCTGGGTTTTTTAATGTAACTGTATTTCAGATCACTCATTGTCACCTTTCTGTCTCTTTTCGTAGATGATTAAGACAAGAAGCTCTAAGGTTTCAGCCCTATCAGAATACGTAAGGTGAGACTGAAGAAGTGATTTTATGATAACACAGGTTTTGCAAATTGCTCTACTCTGTCTATGGGATTTCCCTTGTGAATCTCAGTGTAGGAAAGTACTCCGACTGTGATTCCTCAGTTTCTTTCTTGATGGTCTGAATTCTCTGTGTGTGGGAAGTATTTGTAGTCTGATTGAATCCTGCGTGTCCTTTCCAGGGGAGGTAATACTCATAGCTTGAGTGATTCCTCTGTGAGATCTCCAGCATAGAGCAGAGTCATTCTTTTGTGCCCCAGCAGAGGGGTCTAACCAGAATGAGAAGCAGCAAAATACACATGCTGTGCTACTACCAGAAGTGCGATGGGGTAAAACTCTTATCGCATCGTTATTGCAGCCATAACCAGTTACTACTTTTCTCTCGTTTGATCTCTTTAGGTCTGTTCATCCATATGAAGTGTGTGTGGTAATAAGCCTTCCGATAGAGCAGGGGAACCCCCCCTACCTGAAGTGGCTTGCAGAAACTGTTCCTGAGTAAAATCTCCTTTTCTATGTAATAAAGCTGCACATTACACTCTGCCTCATTCATTTTTATGTGTGATCTCCCACCAGCTGCACTGCAGTTTTCTAGAAGAAAACATACTTTTTGTTAATTTTTTTATTTTTTTTTATTTTAAAGAGACATTGTTCTAGGATCCTGAGTAACTACTAGTGGTAGATTAAAGGGTTACCCCAACCACCATGACCACTTCAGTGATTTGAGTGGTCATGGTTTTGGAGTCAGTTTGAAACACCTGCACACGCAACACACATCACATTGGCAGCCTAGAATTAACTAATGGCAATTCTGTGCATATCATCTCCTTTGCAGGCAGAGCACCTGCAAGGGGAAGAATTACGCCTCCCTCCATTTCCTACAGTGTATTTAAGGAAACTATACGCACTCTGCGCTGGCAAAACACGGACCAATCTCAGGATTCTCCATGAGAGTCTTGTAATTGCACTGCACAAGGTCCATGTGATGTCAGATACAGCACAGAAGTCAATGTCGGGAGCTTTAATTCCAGGGAAGTAAAAACCTTTTATTTGCAGGTTATTGTGAAAATGCGGGACCTTCTCTATAGTGCCCAATAAGGCATTTTACACAGGAAAGGTCCTCTCTTAATACAGATTTCAATAGGAATTGGCTCATTTAATATGTAGAGATTATCCTTGTTACATTTCCCACAGCTGTCAGACGACCAGTTCTTGTTACTTCCTGGTTGTGACAGTGGAGCAATTGCTCAGAGCACCTGCCTTGCAAACCCTTCTCCTGGAGCTGCATTGGGATGTCTGATTGAACACACAGAAAAGTCTGTGCTGGTGAAAAAGGGCTTGCAAAGGGTGCAGACAGATCTGCAGCTTCCTCAAGCTGTTTTTAGATATATTCCCAGTGAATAAAATGCACAATTAAATGTATGCTTGTTTTCAGTGGGATACATAGATTTTTTTTGTTTTTTTTTTTGAGCAGTGGAGTGTCCCTTTATGTGCATTTAGTAGTGGTTGGTATCATATTCGTGTTAGATTTTATATATTTAAATTTCTTTAGAGCTATTTAATTGTAGTTGGCTGTTTACCATGGACATATTTCAGTTGCAATAAGCAATGGCTGTCTAAGGCTTGACAAAGGCCACCAGTGTGGCTGAAATATTGTCTGTTTGTATGCGCTGAAAATGGATTGCGGACTACTTAGGTATGCAGAACTGTCGTCATGTATTTACTATATACCTGTAGTGGAGAGCTGGAGGTATGTTGCATCCTCATTGCTATACTGCTTAGTTTGCTCGGCAGCACTCTGTCTTTCGGTGTCTCCGTCACAGATGTTCTTGCATACTAGAACCCACTCTAGCCTTACACCTGGTACAGTTGTGTTCAGGCCCTGCTATGGGAGCAATGGAATGTTAATGTGATCACTGGAAATCAAACCGGTCCAACTCACTACCAATGCATAACCAGTGTGTCTGAATGAGAGCATCTCCTCTACACAGATCCAAGTACATATGGTGTTCTGGCCAGCATTCAATGTCCCCTCTTGGAAATGAAATCCTTTACCTTATCCCCCACCAGTGTGTCCCCATACTAATCTATTGCAAAATGTAATCTGCTGATCTGGATAGAGAGTCTCAGATGAGGGTGCTGTGCAAGAAAAACAAATCAAAAAGACACGATGGCTAAGAGTGACTTGTCCTTAATAAATTGATGGCGTAGTCCAGTACATCTATGGCAGAAACCACTGCTTAAACAATGGAACCCAACTTAATGGTAAGAGTAATATTACCAATGTTTTCTGTGTAATGTAAGCACCGTAGCCATTCATTTACACCCTGCATGACCATGTGAATAGTTGTTGCATTACTAGGTAGGTAAAGCTTGCGTTAGTAGAACATGCTGCAATTCAGTTCTCTGCCACTAGATGAGGCACCGAGTTCACTTAAGATTTGAAGCATCAGGATCTGCTGCTTAGATGAGATTTCCTCCTCCCCCCCCTTAAAGAGACATGCATCAATATGCTTTAGCCTTTAATGATGCAAGACTCACTTTGCAGGCTGAAAAAGCAGATAAATATATATTTTTTTCTATATTTACTTGCGTCTTCTTTCTTATGCTTTTCACACCCACTCCAGGGAAACACTAATCTAAGCAAACTGTGTCCTATCTGTAGCAATTTGGGCAAAGTGCACTGGGCATGCCTGTTAGATTTACACACAGATCTCTTCACCTTGTAATATGCTGATGGGGAGAAGAGAGGGAGTCTGATCAGTGTGATCATGCAGAGCAGCCTCTGTTGGTGGGTATCTCCCTCCTTCTGTTGCACAATGATGCCCTGTTTATGGCATTAGTCGGATGACTAGTTGGAAATTGAGCTTGGTGGGTATGCTGGGGAGGGGGGTGAAGAAACTCACTTTGCTGAAAGGCATGCCCAGCAATGCAATCTGACAAAGTTTATAAATGTTTATTACATACTTTTTAAAGTTTTACTTGCTTTTTTGTTTTGTTTGTATATTTGATTAAAAGTGTATGCTTTCTGAATTACAAAAAAAAACCCAAACCCATGTTAAGTGATGTTAAAGGTCTCTTCTTGTAATCGGGCTTCATTACCTGACATTATGACTCCAGTGATTTCTGTAAAGCGCAGAGTAGACTAGCCAAAGATAGCTAACTTTGGACATTCCAGCTACTGCATGTTTCTCCATCTGGCGATGCATCATGGGAACATTTGCAGTGAGGTCATGCTGTCTTGATCAGAAACAAATGGCACATGACATCACTGTGGCCATGTTTCCAGGCAGTAGGTCGACAAATAAATGCAGGTAATACACGATCATTTATGAGGATACAAAAGCCATTATCTTTTCAATGACATGCAAACATGACTTTTTTTTTTACCAAGGGGATGGGAGCTATAGAGAACCCGTAAAATGCAAAAAGTTTCCCCATCTAATGTAGGATTAAAAAAAACATGAATGAACACAATTTTAATTTTCCAGTCATTCTTTATAGATATCTAGGGGGAGAGGGCTAACACGATAGATTTGTAAAAACGATACCTATATACTGTAAATATAGTTTCACCAAAGACCTGTGTTATGGTTGGCATTGCAAAATGCTAATAATCTCAAACACAATTAGTGTGCTCAGCACTCCTCCCCACCTCCTGCTACAATGCAGCCATGAAATCTGACTATCATGTTGGAGAAGAAAGGGGTTGCCACTCACAGACCTTCTGCAGAACTGATAAAAGTGGAGGTTGGCTGAGAAGTATGTATCTGTGCTGGGGGGGGAGTTATGTAAACTTCATGGTCTATATCTTGTCCAGCATTGCTTTGGGATTGACTCCCTAAACTAGAAACTGGGGAGAATTGCAAAGGGGATCGGGGAATTTAGGCCAAAAAAAATAAATAAAATAGTTAAGATGGAGAATATTTGTCTAATTTTGCGCTTTCCTGGTCAAATCTCTCCAATTTTAGGTTTAGTAATTAATGTTATATGGGTGTTCTCCAGACAGATCTTTTTCAAAAAGTCATATTAACAAAGCTATTGTTATGATGAACCGTAACAAATTCACACAACCAAGATCTTCCCATAAGAGTTACAAAAGTCCTTTATTGATAAGCCTTTCGTAAATGCCCACACAACATAAGCCAATCATTTTTGGTCCCTGGATATAGCAGACGTGAGGATTCGGAGTCAGACTACACACCAGAAAGAAAGATGTGACGCCAGCACTAAAGGGTACACCTCAACCCCTAAATCAAAAAGTAACAACAATAGTATTCTTACAGGGTTATTCAATAAATTGAGAATGGTCAGGAATTCAAAGCGAATTTCAACTTTAAAAGGACCGTTAAAGTAATTTAGATCACTTCACCTCAAATTAGAGGTCTGTAAGCAGAGGCCCTGGCGTTTTAACCCTGCAATGTAAAACATCGGGGCAGTTCCTGTTTGATAACCAAATGAAACTCTGTTGTCAATCAAATGCTGTTCTCCTAAAAGCATTGGATTGGATAATGTCATTAAGATTGATGATCTCAACTTGAACCAAGTTGGGTCAGTCGCGGAGAAACCAGAAACATCAATGAAGAAAAGATAAGAAAACCTTTTTCATTCACTCAGAGGGGGCCCAGACATCTACAGAATATTATAGCGCGAGGAATACATGTTTTATTCCTAACACTATAGTGTTTTCTAAAAAAGCTGAACTAAGAAAATTCTCTTTATTGGCTATACTTCCAGATCATGTACTTTGGCTTTAAATTTGTGATTCACTTAGAATTCCCGACAAATCACACTTCCGCGAATAACCTCGTTATATATAAAGTCCCAACATATTCTATCTGGTCCCTCTGTCCTGCCAACAGGCTTTGCCTTTGCTCCCACCCCAACATACAACTCTAATTTCATCTCTTCTCTAGAGCGGCATAATTCTCATTTCATTCTACACGGTTTAGGTTATTTAGTTAAGAGAGAATTGCTGTGAATTTAACATTTTAGACCAAAATAGTTGAACTTGAAACACCTATTTTGGAGAATTTATCCAGTTCAGCTATTTTGGTCTTAAATTTAAATTCACTTTGAATTCAGCATTTGTAACTTTATTAAATAACCTTGTATAGAACAATCTGCACTAGCTTCCAGTCCTTAAAATAACTTCTCTAAAAACACTCTTCATTTTAGATATTACTTCCTTTTCCTCCTGCTGCATTCTGCTAACACTGTGTCCTCCCACTACCTGCTGTAATAGTTTAACACCTTTTTACGCTTCAATTATCTATCCATTGTAGGAAATATAGAATACAGATGTGGCCTATGTATTGAAATTACCTTAGACTACACTAATGAATCTTTATTAAACAGTTACTCCACGCACCATAGCAACTTCAGTGATATAAAGTGGTCTTGGTGCCTGGAGTCTGAGTGTATGTGCAGCGTTTCGCTTTTAAACTTGCACATACAGAGTTTAACTCCTTTGCTGCCGGAAGTGTAACTCAGTCTCCAGCAGCGTCACAGGGCAACACGCTTATCATACTGGCATCAGCCACCCAACGGCAGCATCCCTCCCTTGCATGCCGCCCGTGTCCAATGTCTCTGTTAGCGGAAATGAGTGGGGGTGGTGGTACTGGAACGGTTTCAGTTTTATTTATTTTAAAGTTGGGGGACCGGGATAGAAAGGGTTACTTTAACCAAAACCGTATTTTTATTAAAACAGTGTTTTTTGGTTGTAGTAACCTGTTTAAGCAAATTTCCAGTTTAAGGACAAGTCACCTAAACTAAAAGCATAGCTGACTTGGAGAAGTTTGAATTCCTAACAATTCACTTTTTAATAAAGTTCATTTTCACGAGAGGCCTTCATTGATTATTTTTCATATACTCCTACGCTTTCTTATACTTGTCAAATCCATGTAACCATTGCACAACACCGCAGAATATGCTGGCACTTTAATAAAACCATTACTACATTTACTTTATTTTTCTTTATCTCTAACACTACATTCTTTATCCTGACAAAATACACCAATGGCCAAAATATTGGATTCTTAAATAAAGATTTGATTCTTTTCCATGATTCACTGGTTACAATAAAAGCATTTACTATGAGGCATAAGTACCATTTTCTACATAATAAAATATGCAGGCAACAAATAACGGGGAAAATTTCAAGGGTGCCACAATTTTCAGACCAAAATAGCTGAATTGGAAAGGTTTTCAGACCAAAATAGCTGAACTGGAAAGGTTCTCTTCCAGCGCAGCTATGTTAGTGTAATGTTTTCACTTCCCGTGTCAGTTCTGGACAATTTCAGAGTTCATGACTTGTATCTTTATACAAATGTTTATTCGCTAAACCTCAAATTGTGTACTGTAAACCAAATGGCAAAACGTAGGCTCAAATACTCCATAACTAGAGCTGAATTGGAGCCTTTTGTCAAGTAAGCAATTTTTGCCTAAATTAGAAACATAGAATGTGACGGCAGATAAGAACCATTCGGCCCATCTACTCTGCCCAATTTTCTAATTACTTTAATTAGTCCCTGGCCTTATCTTATATTTAGGATAGCCTTATGCCTATCTCACGCATGCATTAACTCCTTTACTGTGTTAACCTCTACCACTTCAGCTGGAAGGCTATTCCATGCATCCACTACCCTCTCAGTAAAGTAATACTTCCTGATATTATTCATAAACCTTTGCCCCTCTAATTTAAGACTATGTGTAATTTTGTTTTACATTCACCGTTTATTGAAGAAAAAAAAAAAACTTTATATAAAGAAATTAGCCACGATCAGTGGTAGTGGAATTGTTAACTTTAGGCTGTTTCCTCTCTTTGCTTTGATGTGCAGCCTTCCCCTGTTACAGGTGTAGTTCCTATGGTATAGTACACTGCGATTCTGGGTTTGAAGCCTGAATAATACAAACTGCCATTTTTAGGTAAATTATTTACTCCCCTTAATTTTTTGTTTCTCTTTCACCATAAAATAAGTTCCCAGTACCCTCCTTCATTCATTCCAGGCCATCATTTAAGAAATATTAAAGAGTAAAGAACCTGATCTCACTGGTATATCAAGACTGTCTTACAGGCATGTCCAACCATAGCTATCAAAACCAGTAGAACCAACTCCATGTTTATGGCACGATTGCTCCACAGAGACACCTTAAATCAGAACATCTAGAACTCTAGAAGCCGGCAGCATCAGGCCAAGTCCATAAAACACAATCCCACAACACATCCTGGATCTTAAAATTATACAATAGACAAAAAAAAAAAAAATCAAAATCAGATTTCGCTCAACTAAGACTGTCCCATTATAATGCAGTCTCCAGGAGCGGATACTGTAAATAACACGTGACAGAACAAGAAGCACGAGCATGGTTATGTACACGCGTGTATAGAGTTTAGGATAAACCATGTATAGCTATGTACAGGAAGCAGAGCAATCACTGAATCCTCGCGGGAAGCACACGCGACAGAGGAAGGATGCATGATGCAAGTATAAGTCCCTCTTCAGTATGCTTTACAGCTCTCAGAAGATGTTTCCTCCGCCCCACTCCACCAGGTACTGAACTGCCCCCTGCGTTGTAACCCTTCGAGCCAGTATGCGCGTGTCCTCCTCTGCAGATCCCGGCCATAAGCAGCCCTCTGAAGTGGAAGAAGATGGGGGAGGGGCGATCCGGGTTCGTCCAAGAGTAGTGGGGGACGGTCCTGGGGCCGCTTCGAACATCTCGGAGAGCACAGGGGCTTCTGGGGCTTCCGTTGAGATCTCACTGAGAGGGTATGGTAAAAGAGAAACAATAAAATCCGTTATTTTCTATGGGAATGCTGAGAATGTTCCCCCACCAAAAAGGTTGCAATGGTGTGGCTTGTATTGTATGAAACTAGTTTTATTTTTCCATAATAAAATATACAGTCCTTCCCATTCTGTGCAATTTACCAATTTGCTGTCCCAACCATACAACCACAAGGTAACACTTCTAGTACAATGCTTTTATTTGAAATCAAAGAAATGGGAGACGGCTGCACTGGGCTCACCATGATCAGAACATAAAATACCAGGTTCTAGGTTTGGAAGCCTCCCCCAGACAAAGATGATTGACAAGTAGTTTGTTTCGCAACAACCTACATCAGGGATAGGGAACCTTTGGCCCTTCAGATGTTTTGGACTACATCTACGATAATGCTCTTACAGCCATAATGCTGGCAAAGCATCAAGGAAGATGTAGTCCAAACCATCTGCAGGGCCGAAGGTTCCCCACCCCTGACCTACATGGTGGAACACTCGCTGGTGTGTAGGTAGTGTAGGGCAGGGCAGAGCTGTGGAAAAAACTGTGGATTTTCACATAGAAATGGGTTTATGTTGACTGTTTTGTAAAATTGGGAAAAAAAAAAGACTCATGCTAGGAGCTGGCAACGGACTATACTTGATCAGCCTATCCACAGGCCATCACATTACTGGTCGGTACTGGAAGACAACAAAGCATGATCTCGTATGTCTACTTCTAACGGTAATCAGAACTCCCTGCCTTGTTATAAAAAGTCATGCATAATTTTCACTCTTACCCAGACTGCAGAGAAGCAGCTACAGACCCTGATGTGTTTGCAGAGGGATGGAAGGAGGCAAACATCCTAATGGGAGGACTAAAGATAAAACAATTATTCATTTAATCAATCCACGGTAGTATTTTCAGATTATAACAAAGTGGCGACAGCTCAGGTGGAACCACAGACACAGATTTTGGAGTAAATTGTTCAACCTCTTTAACTCAGCTTTCTAGATTACCATTTACAGAAATAATAAAAGCCCTTGTTGTGGACTACATTTCCCATGATGCTCAGTAACCATACAGAAACTCATGTACCAATGTTTAGCTGAATCTTGTAGCTATTCAAGTGAACTCAGGAGCTGAAAAACCCAAGTGAGTTCCACTTAGTGTGAATATTTTCATAGTCTTAAAGGACAACTATAGCATTAGGAATACAATGCTGTATTCCTAACACTGTAGTGTCCCTGTACCCTCCCCTCTCCAGCACACAAAGGGTTAAATAACCCTTTAAACTCTCACCTTATTCTACCTCCGAGGTCCCTAGGTGCTGGCTTCCGACTCATCACGAGGGGGAACGTAATGCGCATGCATTAGGCCTTCCCTATAGAAAAGCACTTTATTAATGCGTTCCTATGGAGATTTAGAAGATGCTGGACTTTCACGGACCATAGTTTCACTAGTTAAACTCTGTGACACAGCAGGAAGTGCTTCTAGCAGCTGTCTGGTAGACAGCCACTAAATGCAGTCTAAACACTGCAATGAAAACATTGCAGTTTCTCTAAAACTACAATGTTTTCAGTTGCAGAGTTCAGGGGACACTGCATCCAGATCACAGAATAAAGTGGCCTGGGTGCCTATAGTGTCCCTTTAAGAATGCCAGTGGTCAGTAAAGTGACATTTTATTCAAAAATCATCATGGGGGTTTAGTACACTTTCTCCTCACCTCTGCAGGCAGCGTGTTCCTATGCGTCGGAAGTTGTAAGTGCTACCACGGTATCCCAGATACTCCTGGTGGGGGCTAAACGGATTCTGTATCACATCCTGCAACAGATGCTCACACATTACTTTCAGAGACAACAATCACCTGTAACAGGCCATATTTTTTATGGTGCGTGACTATCTCAGACAAAATGTACAGGTCTTACAAGGGGTTTATCATCATTAGAAACCAATATTGTCAAATTAAGTAAAATCATACTCCACCCATTGATTTTTGCCGGCAAGTAGATACTTTCAAACGTTAGTTTTAATTGATTAATTCGAAAAAAGTTCCTAGTAATCTTCCAACCAGTAGATTCCCAAAATTTGGTTCATTCCCAAACAAACCGAATCATCAAAATATAAATCCTTGTAAAAAATATTTTTGGGTTTGAACGATTTGGTTAAAGGACCACTCTAGGCACCCAGACCACTTCAGCTTAATGAAGTGGTCTGGGTGCCAGGTCCCTCTAGGATTAACCCTTTTATTTATAAACATAGCAGTTTCAAAGAAACTGCTATGTTTATAAAATGGGTTAATCCAGCCTCTAAAGCCTCTAGTGGCTGTCTCATTGACAGCCGCTAGAGGCGCTTGCGTGCTTCTCACTGTGAAAATCACAGTGAGAAGACGCCACAAAATGCTTTCCTATGAGACTGGCTGAATGCGCGCACAGCTCCTGCCGCGCATGCGCGTTGAGCCGAAGAGGAGGATCGGAGGCGGATAGCTCCCCGCCCGGCACTGGAGAAAGGTAAGGTTTTAACCCTTTCCTCTCCCCAGATCCTGGCGGGAGGGGGTCCCTGAGGGTGGGGGCACCCTCAGGGCACTATAGTGCCAGGAAAACGAGTATGTTTTCCTGGCACTATATTGGTCCTTTAATTTGTGAATGAGCCGAATTCAGAATCTATTAGTTCTACGATTGCCAGTAAATCTATTTGGATAAATCGCTTAAAAGCAATTGCCTTTCAGATTGAAACAATTATACACATTTAAACATATTATAAAACTGAAAATGTATCTTGGATTGAGGAAGGAATATGTGATGAAAATAATACTAATTTCAGTAATAATCAATACTAATTACTATAACTACTGGTGAACTCAGAGGAGTTTGACATATAGTAATCTGAATCTCTGGTGGAATCACCATACTTTGCTTGTGTTGCTCAGCCAGTTAGTAGTCACACCAAATCCATTGGTTAGGTTACCTGGTTAACCTAGGTATCCATTACCTGGGTAAGTGCTTGGCGCAGACTCCGCCTCTCTCTCTGTGTTCGCTGCTCTATGCTCTGCGTCCTCTTTCGGTGTGGGGGGCGTTTCAGGGCCCCCATTCTCCCTGAAAGGGAACTGCAAGAGATCTTTATGTCCGCTCGCTGGGGAGGGGAAGGGAAATACGTAATGCAGCGTGATACTTAAATAAAGCGGGGGCTGACAAACTGATCATATGGAGAGCGAAATACGTGACCGTAAAAGCAGGTCAGAGTCCCTCACCTTACGCAGGGGGCGGGGCTTCTCACGTCTGTTTCTCCTAGTCTCAATTCTGTTGTCTGAGGGGCTGGAGGAGGGACGCGGCTCTGAAGCCCAAACAAGCACTTTTTCTTCTTAATCTCTTTCCCAGAGATGAACCTGTGTGTGGCACAAATTAAACGCTATATAAACCATACATGGATCCAATTCTGCTGGTATAGGCAGAAAGGCGCTGGAAGGATATCTTCTCATTTAGAGCTCTGCTTAAACCACAAGATTCAATAACCAAAGATGAACTTAGCAGACACAGTTTAGCAAATGTGTTATTCTCAGTGAACGGAAGTGAAATCTTCACACTAACTGCCTACCATAGCTTACGTTAATTCAGTAGTAGCCGCTTCTTGCATAATTATATTGATCCCAGCACAGATGTAAAAATAAACTCAGCGTATACATGCACTGAACTCACCATGTCACTATAAACTTTGCAAAATCAGCAGTTCTCTATAAACAGACTAATAAAACCAGGAGCTCTCTATAGACTTAACCCTTTTTCAAAGATAATAAAATAATGTCCTACTGGCATTATTCTATATGTCCCCCCAGCCCCCTATAGAAAAATGCAAAAAAAAATAAAAAATAGTTTTAACCCCTTAAGGACCAAACATCTGGAATAAAAGGGAATTATGACATGTCACACATGTCATGTGTCTTTAAGGGGTTAAACTAAAGTTTACTCACCGTAAGCCAGCGCCGAGTGAAGCTACCCGGTGCTGCTTGGCACTCCCAAGTCTGTTGTCTCAGGGGCCACCCAGAGGTCCACTAATAGGCTTCTAATATAAAAGCCTTCTATTAAACCATTTTACCGGCTCAGGGTTTATGTGCTAGCTCAGAACCGGCAAGGGAATGGGGACTGGGAAGGAAGGAGGGAAAGGAGAAGTGTCAGCATGGGTTATCAAAAAATGAAATGGAGGGTACTTGGAGAACAGGGGGGTTTATTCAGGGTGGGAGTGACGGAGTGGAGAGAACTCTCACGCAGTTACGTCTGTTGCCAGTATGCAGTGCGCGCTGACGACAGGCGCAAAATATACACAGAACAGACATTGGCAGCCCAGAGTACAGTTCTGGAGAGACTAAGTCTGTTGTGCTGGGGGTGCAACATGCCCCCAGAACACAATTCAAAATAACACTGCACATCTAGACTCCTACCACCATGACCACTTTAAAAAAGCAGAAGTGGTTGGAGTAACCCTTTAATACAGAACATATAATTCACACCACAGTACCCCATCCACTGCAGCAGCTTTCTATAAAAGGTATTTAAAATGGGGGAAAATCTCCTTCAATTCGGGCACATATTAACTCAACAGAAACATGAACAGCAGCAGTTTAACAGAGATTGGCGAATATTCCCATGAGTAAGTAAGTAGATTTTATTTACAGTTTTTATTATGACTTGGTAACCTGCACACTGATTGGCGTTTTTAGTATTTGACTAGATGAAATGGAAAGTTGCAATATACACTGTGTCAATAACCTGCCTGGAAATACTAAACCAAATACTTGCAAAGTGACTGCACAAAAATCCACTAGTCCTTTCTCCAGCATGGGACAATAATGCACATGAGGGGCTCGGGACAGATTTTGAGGTCACACACTTAGGCCAATTGGAGATAGATGATTCCTTACCTGTCCTTCTGCCCAGTGAGGGCGTGCAGCAGATGCGAGTATCGCTCGGACCGTGGAGTATCTGTGAGCTGCAGAGGGCAAATTATCATACAGCAAGAATTGAGCTGTGTATGTATCCATAGAAATATACAAAGTGCCTCCTTGCACACAGAAATAACCCAGATTACAAATCATTAGGTGTGATTCCCTGGTTGTGCATTTTACATATTAATCGATAAGTTTATCCATATCAAACATTTGGTGTTTAATTATTCACTGAACACCAACTTTAGTAAATTAAACTCCAATGGCAACATTGAAGATTTTAACCTTCATTCCATTGTCCTCTGTCCCAGTGTCTATCAAACAGAGTGGGGGGGGGATAGAGCCACCCATACTGGATGCTGGGTGATGAAAGGTGATTAGTGTGATAATCTGCACTTATTATATTAAATTAAATAATTAATAAGTAGAGGTGCAAGTCAATGCCATATGTAGAACTAGAGGATAATGAAAGCTATTTATCGTATTCAGTAACAGGGTATTCCGAGTGTATACTTGTAATACAGCTGACAGCTCCATTTTGAAGACACTAGACACCTAGATTGTTGCTATCGATATTCAGAGGCATCGAATAAAGGGTAAACGATAAGCGTAATAGTGACAAGAACATGACTTGATAACAAAGACCTTACACCTCTTCTAGAAAAATAATGTGAATGGAATCTGGTAAGATAATATTACCGGTGACGTATGATGTTGCTGATAGTGTGACTGTCACATCAGAACGATGTTCTTCCTAAAGCAGCACTTACCTCTCCTACTAGTAAACTATCCCAGTTCTCGTTTACAAAGGACAAAATTTCCCGCTCAAAGTCAAAATATTTCTTCTTACAACAAATACTTAGATGATACAGGACAAGGTGTGAAACGTCTACCCTATAAGTGAGATAGAAAGGAGTCATATTACACAATAAGATCCTAACAGAAAGGTTAAGGTGAATAAGGTGTTAGTTTGACATTAATCAGCCATCACAAATTTATAATATCCTGTAACAAAGACGTCACAGGGTATGGAACAAAATTATAGTTTAACATGACCAGCATTCAACTATAAATATGTGACAATGTGAGTAACGCAGCCTCCTTGTAACCAAGAGAGGGGGTGACCTGAGACGGCTGTGTGATCAGACCTTCTCCGAGCACGGTAAAAAGTGTTTTATGGTAACCGTGCAAAGAAGGAAAGACAAGGAGGTGCGAATAATATGCCAAGACAATGACACACTCAAATTGCAGGCATGACCGTGACAATTCATCTACAAAAATATGAATGGAAAACACACACTCACCATCCCAGGGGAAGTCTCCAGGCGTTCTCTGGACCTCTGGTACAGACAGAGCACTCAAAAATATAAAACCTGTTAAAACATGAATGTACAGAAAATGTGTAAAGTGGAAGATGGACAAAGGGAAAAAATTGGGGGGCAGGAGAAAGAAAGTACGAGAGCAAGTGGAACGTGAGTGAGGCAGGGTCGAGAGAAACGAGAAATAAGAGGAAAAAGAAATATGAAAGAAAAGATGTCAGATTATATTAAAAAAGTGACAACACATTATTGTACAGAGTAAAATAATATACTTCCCCCTGAAATGTCTGCTTTGCCCAAATGTTATAAAGGGAACCATGGCAATTTGATGATGCAAAGTCTAGCAATGAATCTGGGCTAGACAGAAAACCAGAAAATCACCAAATATATGCATCATTATGCGCGACCATTCTCTGTGCGCAAGCAGAGAATATATTTTGGAAAGAGGAAGCTAGCTTGCATAAGGCATCTCCTTCACGAACAGAACAAAACAATACGATACTGTGAAGAGCTGTAGTAATAGCCAGCGAAAAAAAGTTAAAAAAATAACCTAAATTAAAAACATGACAGGCCAGCGCCCATTGTACAGTGCTACGGAATCTGACGGCGCTATATAAATAAAATAATAATAATTAAAGGAACACTATAGTTCTCAATGAATTGGTCTCAAAGCAATGGTCCTGTCATACTTACATTGCAGGGTTAAATACATATCTAATGGTGGTCTTCCTTTCAGCCACAAGAGGCACTTCCTCCCCCAGACTGAGTAAAATTTGGTCTGGGAATGAAATGCTGCCGATAGCAGCTGTGCAGGCTTACCTCAATTCTATTGCCTCTCTATGAGAAGCAATGGAATGGTGGAGATCGTAAAGATGTCTGCAGCCTCTGGAAACAAGGTAAGTAATCTGTATTTACTTAGGGGGTTATGGACAGAAGGGGACCTATAGAAATGACGATTGTTATTTTTGGGACTATAGGTTCCCTTTAGGTTTTGAGAACCAGTCAGCTTCCAGGAAGGGAAAGTAACACTTGCAGGTCATGTGACAATCAGTTAAGATGTATCCCATTATCAAATACACACAAATAGGTTTATTAACTAAATAATGACTTGTCACGAGATGACAGAGTACAATATAAAGAATTTTTGTTTCTCCCCATCTCTACTAGTTTGTTCTAAAGGTGTGTCAATTCACCACAATTCACAGTTTAGAATAAATAAAACAGGCAGTATAAAGATTGCACAGCTATGTACAAAGTAAGGACTTGTCCGCAGATGCCCACGATGATCTACACACCTGTCTCCGTAGAGAAGAGGTTTGCTCAGACACTGGGTGCAAGCCTCATGAAACCACTGTAAACAGCGACAGCATTGTAACATCTTCATGTTCCATCTGTGGGGAAAGATTTCCGTGTGTATATACACATGTATGATAAAGCAAACATATACACACACTGACCAGCACTTTCACAACATCCATTCCTCACCCTGCTTACTTAAGCCATACTTACTGTCCTGGATCCCCCAGACCCTTAAAAAAAAACAAAAAAAAACTTCCCCTGTCCACTTGTTACTTACGCCATACTTACTGTCTTGGACCCTCCCCCTCAAACTACACCCCAGACCCCTAAAAAAACCTCCCCCTGTCCACTTGTTACTTACGCCATACTTACTCTCCAGGCCCCCCACAGTAGCAGTAACACTGCTGTTTATTGGTTAGATGCAGTGGGTCCCACTCTAAAGATTTCAGCTGATAGGGCAGAGACAGCTTCATATGCAGCATGGATCGTGCATAAGGACCTTTCTTTAGAGCGCCACCTCTCTGAGAGAGCAAGAAAGACAGGAGATGGTTATATCACCTGGTGTATATGGAACGGTGAGGAGCACGTCAAGCAAAAGAACACAAGAAGGAGCTGGTACCTTGGTGGCCACAGCAAAGACACACTGTCTGCACATCCACGAACTGCCAGGACAGTCTGTGTCGCATGGAACATTGGGAACGTGGCATTCCTGGTGGTATGCTGTAGGAGCAGACAGCCATATTGTCATAATACAATGGACTGAGAGGTTGCATTGCAGACAATTATCACATCAATCTTACCGTGTTTACATTTCCCACAGTGTACAAGTTTGTTGTCTGGGGTACACGCCTGAGAGTTGCACACACAGCACAACTGCTCCTTTCCAGGCACGGCAGCTGTGGGGAAATAGGATCAGGGGAATTAAAAATATCTGGTACTCTTCTTTAATTCTATCTGGAAGGTATTTTTAAAAGAGACACAGTAGGCACTATAAACATTAATCTCATTGATTATAGTGCTTGGAGTCCCCTGGCACTGTCCCACCATTACGCATTAAACCGCTTTCAAACAGTTTAAGGCTAAGTAAAGGTCTCTGGCCACCCACCCCCCAGCCCCTACTGGAGAAACACACTACCTCCTAGCCATACCAACTCATACCAGCAATGGGCGCTGTGATAGGCTGAAAGTAATCAGTTGACACGCTCAGACAATAAGACAATAAGAGACATCCATTGCTGTTCAGCCCAAAGCTCCATCATTAGCCCAAGCAGCAACCATTAGGCCCTCATTTAGCATTAAAACCGGTTTCACACTGAATAGAAGGAAGGGGCCAGAGGACACCAGACACATACTATTTTAATCCGATGAAGCAGCTAAATAATGTTACTTTAAATGACACCTAGTGCAGGGTAGGCAACCTTCAGCACTCCAAAAGTTGTGAACTACATCTCCCATAATGCTCTTACAGCCATAATGCTGGCACTATTCCCAAACTTATCGCTCTGAGTTGGCCAGGCTGGGAATCAAACTTTTGGCCCAACGTTCTCGGTCTCAGTGCCCAAGGAGGCACGTCAAGCATCGTTCTCCTCTAGAGCTCTGCAAATGTGAAATAACCGGACAGAAAACAGCCAATCTGCCACCATCCTGAAGTCCCCAAAACATCTGCACCCATCTCCCATTAATCAAACAATGCAGATCTTTACGTCTTAGAAAACTGTCTCAATGTGTAAATATGGCACATGTTGCAATGAAATGAATGCTTACGGGGGAATATGTCCTTCCACAGGACTGAGAACTGAGAGTTATCTTCAAAGCGAACAAGACACGTCTCCTGTGCACTGTCCACCTGTAAGAGAAATCATAGGAGGGAGGTAGACATTTAAGAAGGTTCGTACCTAATATTTTTCCACCTTGGATATTTTGGCCTAAAATTAATTTTCTTGTGAATGCTCCACAGTTCCTGGTTGAGTGAGTAGCTCACACCTACAAAAAAGCACCCACACAGGAATAGACGGTCAGATGCATGCTGGTTAAAAGGAAACTATAGTCACCAGAACCACTATAGCTTAATGTAGCGGTTCTGGTGTTTATAGCCTTTCTCTGCAGGCTCAGCACTGTAAAACTAACTTTTCAGAGAAAAGGCAGTGTTTACATTGGTGACTTGGAACACCTCTAGGTGCAGTCACTCAGATGGCCACTAGAGGTGCTTTCCAGTCCTACACTCAGCATCTGCCTGCTCTGCATGGAGACGCTGAACACTTCCCAAAGAGATACCCTGCTTCAGTGCTTCTCTATAAGGAGATGCTGATTGGGGCAGCATGACATTTTGCTGCGTATGCACAAGAGCCTCCCAATGCTTTCCTATGGGAAAGCATTTGATAGGCTGAGATTATCAAGATTGATGATCTCAGTCACGGAGGCGGGGCCAGCCGTGGCAAGACCAGTGCAGACTTTGAGAAAAGGTCAGTAAAATCACCTTTTAACTCCACAGAGAGGGGCTGGGGACCTAAATATTTATTCCACCACTATAGTGTTAGGAATACATGTTTCTATTCCTAACACTATAGTGTTCCTTTAATATTATGGATGGTACAAGGTCTTAGTAAAGATAAGTCAAAGGCTCCCAGTGAGCTTCGTAAATAGCTTTAAGAATCAGTCTAGGCACTATAACCACAGTGTGATGTAGTGGTTCTGGTATCAAGAATACCCTTCTGCCATACCCTGGGTAAGAGTCAAACCATTTTCGGGTCCAAGTATCTCTGATCATCCTCCTCTTCTGAAGTAGGTAAACTGGAAGATCCTTCTTCGTAGCAGATATATCAAATAGTTTCCAACAGAATTAATGTCACTAAAGCAGAATTAGGAACTTTTCCAATAATGAAACCAGAAGAGGAGGCAAGATTGGAGATGCACAGGGGACCCAGGTAAGTGGAAATGGTTTGAAACCGTTTGACTCTTAAAGGGACACTCCAGGCACCCAGACCACTTCTGCCCATTGGAGTGGTCTGGGTGCCAACTCCCACCACCCATAACCCTGCAAGTGTAATTATTGCAGTTTTTATCAACTGCAATAATTACCTTGCAGGGTTAAGTCCTCCTCTAGTGGCCGTCTAGGGACCCTATAGTGTTTTAAACTACGCTAGACGTTCTCACGCTATGCACGAGGACCTCCAGCATTGCCGGAATCCCCATAGGAAAGCACTGAATAATGCCTTTTCTATGGGGAGGTCTATTGCCGCGCATGCAGATTAGGTCTCCCCCGCCGACGTCAGCCGTGGAGGCGGAGCCTGACCCAGCACCGAGGGACATCGGTGCTGGATTCAGGTAAGTCACTGAAAGGGTTTTAACCCCTACAGCAACATGGGATGGGGGGTAGGGCAGTGCCAGGAAAACGGATATGTTTTCCTGGCACTGGAGAGTCCCTTTAAGGAAATACCACAACAGAATTTTATTCACAATGAGCACTACATCACACTGTAGTGCTTATAGTGTTTAGATTATCCCTTTAATCACAGCTGCACCATGATTTTTGAAATAAAGTGCATTTGAATGGGACATTATATGTTCTTGTATGTTACCCAGGAAAAGGAACTTTCAGGCACTGAGAAGTGCAAGATCGGTTTAAGGGAGTATATCAATAATTATGAACATAATGTATATTTAATTCCAATTTCAATAACAGAAGAATGCCAACCTGCCCACCTCTCTGTCCCAATGCCTCATTCAAATCTTACTGCAACTAAATGATACATTTCATTAGCGCTAGATAAAGTGAGAGAGAGACACAATAAATACGGTAATGATAGTTACTAGCTAAATCTCACAAGGATTTTAGAAAATTTTCTAGAATTTAAACTAAATTTCAAATTTTAGGTCAAAACAGATAAAAATTTTAAGAACAATTCCAATTGGGTTATTTTGGCCTAAAACACGAAATTCATGTGAAATTCCGGACGATTCATAATTTAGTGAACAATCTTGTCCTTGACCATAAGATAAAGTTGAATAAACCAGGTCACCTTCTTGATTATTCCCAGATAGAGAAGTCCATCTGTCCATCGTGCCAGGACATCCTGACCTTCCCAGAAACGAGCCAAAGTCTGGAACCGTGGCCTTTTCACCAGAGCAGGCGTCACCCTTGGACTAGCGGGCGTCGTACGGTTTGGTCGGGTCGGGGGCTCCCGTCCCTCCATCACACATTGTCTGTATGCAAAAAAGAAAGGAGGGCGAGTGGTGGTTTCCAGGAGATTGTGACAAAAGAGAGACATTAGAAATTATAGGATTCCTAGTTAACAAAAGTCACCTCTGACATTATTTTACACTTGGAATCGTGTGAAAGTCCATAGCAGCTGAACATTGCATCTAGATAGGCCGTCTGAATTCATTATGGAAGTGACCGAGTAGTCACATACAAGTTATGGGTTTGTTGCACATGGAATTCCCTGTACTATAACTTGTGACAGCTTTATTCACTATATTGTGAATTGTAAGCATCTCAAAGTGAATTTCATAATTCAGGAAATTCACTTTGGAATCCCAACAATTCATATTGTACTGAATAACGGAGAGCATGCCTGCAGAACCCATAATGCATTACTCTGCCGCACAGTGAAGATTAACTTACAATATGGAATAAATATAAGTAATAGCAATATTGCATATAAGAAAATCCAAAATTCACATAAACAAAAATCAGTGCAATCTGTGACTGATACAATGCCTAGAAATGGTCTCATTACTATGCACTGTTCGCAAGAATGCACCTAGTGAGAGACACCCACCTTAAGCCCATCAGTGGATTCCCCACATCAGATATCCGACGTTTTACAGTAGAATATACAAAAGGTTACAAACGTTTACTGGCTTATATGCCAGTTATAGCGTTTTGATATCCAAATAGCAAAATCTAGGCTAAGACAGCCGAGACTACAACGGAGGTGGAGAATTCTTCCAAATCTGCAATTTTGTGGTTTTGTTTTTAATTCACTACAAGTAGGAGTCATTTAACTTTCATAAATGCCCAGATGGAGGTTTCGCTGTTTTTTTCAGTTTGAACGCACATGTGGTTTTTTAATCAGACAGTTAGACTTGTAATAAATTGTGCATTTCACAATTTTGTCTAAAATAGGCAAAATGAAAAAAAAAAAGATGACTTGGAGAACTTTTAAAGTTTAACTAGTGTGACATAAAATGAAAATCCACTTTGCATTCTCAACAATTTCCACTTTAGTGAAGGATGTTGGCAGTTTAGAATGTGTTTTTGGCAACCCACCCCTGTGCTGGTCAGACCTCCAATTCAAAAAGTCTGTTTTACAAAAAGCAAGACTGCACTGAGGGATTAGTTGATGAATTAAGAAATAAGTTCCCTAAATCAATACCGTAAAAAAAAAAAAAAAAATGTCATTACACAGTACTTGCATAATGAGCATTCAGTGTAAGGATCGCGTCAATGAAAAGTGAAGATCTCCAACTCATCTCGCAGGGAATTAACCTCCTGCTGTTTTATGACTTTATTAATTAACTTTGCATAGCAATATATCAAGGGTTAGCCTGAAGACCTGGGTTCGACCAACCTCGATTTATAGTAGACATCTTTCTCCCAAGTCTCTATCCTACAGTAATTTTTGGCATTTTCCCAATATACACACCATTAGCCAATTAACTCTGCATCTTTAAACAGGAGTTAATTGGGTAATAATGTTGATCATTATCTCGAGAACCAAACATCCCTCTAGGCAAGAAGTTGTGCAGCTCACGTTCCAGATGGAACTGGCAGTACTGAACGCGCCAACCCTTGACAGCCACACGTTCCAGGACTGTATGATAAGATGTATCATACAGCCAAGTGAGCCATAGAACCTATTAATCATGTGTAAACATGATTATCAACACTAATCAGCCACTAACAAAAAAATTATATATCTTCCATAAAGACTATGGTGCTTAATGTCAAATTACGGTTACATTTTTACAAATTCAAGCATGTTTGGGACATTGTAATTTTATTTAAGCTAGCGTAACTATCAATGGTAAGACATCACATTGTCATTTTGTGACCGAAGGAATCTTATGTCCCAAATTTTTCCATTCTAATTTCTGCTTCACGCAATCCAATGTGCATCACAAATGAAGAATGAGAATCAACAATCTGGATGAACTGAGTTGATAAAGAATTGATGCTTATTTATGTAGAATCCATAACGATAAAAACTAGTCTACTGATCTGTTGAAACAATGCTAGATTTAACAAAGGATACAGACATTCTATGAAACGGATTTACATTGATGGCTGTAATGAAGATTGGAGGACCACATATTCTAATCATGAGTGTCACATACGTGGCATGCATAATCACGTGAAAAAAAATAAACATGTGATATATTAAAGGTGCAATCCCGCCTTTAAAAAAAGAGAAATGAGAGCACGCAAAACATTCAGAAAGGTTTATTTGCACATTTAGCACATTTCACCAACACATACAAGTCACAAATTGAAATACATCATTTTACCGTGACTCGAAAAACGCCACCTGAAAAGAGAAAAACAATTCAACAGCACACAGCTCTATATATAAAGCACAGAAAGACCAATATTAGGATTGCACCTTTAATCAGTTACCAGAATTAATGTGTCAATGTCTGATAAAAATAACAGGCTGTATGAGACTCTACAAATGCGTGGTGTGCGTGCAAGGCGCATTCTATAAAATGAGATGAAGCTGATGAAACTGATACAGTGAAACTCGTAATACATAAAACGAATATTTTAATTACAAAACCAGAGAGAGGAACAGTTGAGGCCTGGCACATTGAAATTATTTTCTTCACCCAATATTACGCTAATCTCTTTTCCATCATGGCGCTCTCCTACGGGGTAGGTCAATCAATGCCTATAACGTTTCTCTTGGTTTATTTCAGGATATCAGCCTGTTCTTGTCAGAATGGCTAGACAAGACGTAGCCACAACTCCCATAATCACACCATTGGACGCACATATAAGAGCGCCATAGGTGTTCTAGCCAACAGGCCAGCCTGCTTTTAAATTTTAGGAGCGATAAAAACAACCTCCAGCATGCACTATAACTCAGCATATAAAAACCTAACTACCGTGCTCCTATATTCACATTGGCCACTGCTGGAGGAGACTATACTCAAAAGACTCACAGGTCAAGTCCGGTATTAAATAAAGTATTTCATCTTGTCCTGCCTCTTGTTTTTTTTTTAAATTTTATTTTGCTTTTAAAAAAAAAAACAAAAAAAAACAAGATGACATACTCCAATACTGTGTATTTCTCTTGCGCTAAATATATATATTTTTTTCAATAAATTAAATATATAATCAATCTGCTTCCTCATACCATAAATTGACATAAATCAGATTTTTAGATTTAAAAAATAAAAAAAATCTGAAATTTTAAAATTACTCTAAATGTAGTGAATTTGTTAAAAATAAATAAATAATACCCCCAACCCCCAGTGTTATCTGAAGTTGCCCCTTTTTCTCCCTTTATTCAATGTATTGCCAATGGAGTTACTATATTAATCCAGACAGCCCCCCCTCTCCCCCCATGTCCCCCCCATTGAGCAGATTAACCCCTTCCTGCCCTGTGAGTGCAGAGTCTTTGTTGCAGGCTGTGTGGGTGGAGGGCATGGAGGGGTCTATGCTAATTTGCCGTTATTGTCATTTTATTGGAAGCCAATGGCCTCTCCTGCGCCTGTCTCCCTCTCATGGTAATTGGCCTCTGCTGTTCCTCTCTCACGGTGCTCCCCTCACCCCGGGATCCCCTCAGATTCCACCCCCGGCTCCTCCTCTTCTTCTTGCCCTGGCTGTGGCGCGGTGTCTGCCTCTTCTCCTCTCCCGGGGGGGTCCGGGCAGGGGAGCGTCCTCCTTCCTTCTATCCTCGGGCCGCACCTCGGCCCGAGTGACGCAGCAGCCTAAAGGCAGGAGGAGTCAGCCAACGACCCCAGCGACGTCACCACACCCACCCCCCGGAGCCAGCCAATCGGAACGGCTCCACGAAGCCAAGGGCTGGTCGGTATTTCACACCGTTCGCCAATAAGGGGGCGGGGCGAAGGAGAGGACGCCTGTCAAATGCGGCAGGAAACGCGTTTCGCCTGCCTTAGCCAATCGCAAGAGGGCAAGTAGGGAAATGGGCGTGGCGCAACGGCCACCAAATGACTGGGCGGGAAAACTTGTGTCCAATCAGAAGTGTGGTCTGGAAGTCTAACTGTCCCTTAGGCTCCTAGGAGCATTTCAGCATTAAAGGGACAGTTCAGGCCAGAGTTGGACAGTTGTTGTTGTTGTCCAAATGTGTTTGTGAATCAGTCTGTGTAAATAAAATACTTTGGCCTTGGGCTACAATACATTTTAGTTGCATTAATTATTAATTAGTCACCTAAAAAATGTCTCAGAAAAGCACCTCACCCCTGGCCCACCCCATTCACACACCTACCATTAAACTGTCCCACTGTGTTCACTGTAAATGTTGGAAGCGATGTTTATTAAAATTTGCCCAAATACCCCAGAGCAAAGAAAAATGGGACCCCTTTCAGAATCTTGGCAGTATAATTATGTGAATTGCATGAGGTAGTAACATACACAATACAAACAGGAGATTGCGTTGTGTAACATACAAAATAGAAACTTCGAAAATAGAGAAACATTAATAGCACCAAAATATACGCTCTTGGCACCAAAAGCACTACAGTCTGATACTATTTGGCTACTGTCAAGTGTGTAGTTCAGCCAGTCGAAAGCTTCCAAATTAATAGAAAATGGACATCGCTAATGCAGAAGTGTAATTTTCATATGTCGCGGGAGTCTGGGAGCCGCTGGCTTTGTGTCAAACTGCTCAAAAATGGTTTTACAAAGAACCGAAGTGCTAACAGCTCAACCAGCACTATAAGTACTATACGCAGAGTAAAGGTAAGGCTATAGGTGTAGGGGGTTCCTTGTCTTGTATTAAACCATTCTAAAATGGTTTGACAGAGAACAGGCTGTAATAGTTGTCATTATTGATCTACCCACAGTCAAATTGGAGTGTAAAGGCTAGGGTTAGAGCAATATCATATATCTTATCAATGTCATCAAGCTCCAGAGTCCCCTCTCTCCAAGCCCTTTTATTTTTAAAACAGCATGGGAGAGGGTACAGAAGGAAGAAAAAAGGGTGGGTGTCGGGGAGGGGAGTATTCACTCTAGTACAATAATTAGCCACATTAACAGTTGGATCAAAAAGGTACAGTATCTATGAATAGGTACAATGGTAATGTAGCAGAATGGACACGTGCAAGCTACTTTTTATCCCCTATATTGTCTGTCCGTATCTTCCCCCTGTTATTTAGTGTATTTTTCCCTGGTTATTTCGTGTGGTTCTTCTTTGGCCGCTCGGGAGACTTAGAATGCCCCTTAATTGAGGTTTAGGTTATAATTTAGCATAATATCATCTTTAACTTAACCCTAATTCTAATTGATTAAATAGGTTTTATCCTAACAATAACCCTATAACAATAACCTTAATCCTAAACTGGTACATTTAGTGTTATTGATGTCCTCCTTCGCGAGGTCCAATTTAAATGTTTCTCATTTGCACACGTGAACCACAAAGAGGAGGAAGTGGAGGCTGGGATTTAAACACCTATTTTGAAAAATGTTCTTATTCTAAATAGAAGGAGACAGGGAGGGCTTGGAGAGAGGGGACTCTGGAGCTTGATGACATTGATAAGATATATGATATTGCTCTAACCCTAGCCTTTACACTCCAATTTGACTGTGGGTAGATCAATAATGACAACAAAGTCAACTATTGCATTGATTATTATTATTATTTATATAGCGCCATCAGATTCCGAAGATAATCCACAACAGAAATATGCGATTTAAAATTAGTGCATATAAATTATTTCAGTTAAAACCGTGAAATCGCAAAAAGCATTGAATGCCCTTCTCTCTCACCTGGAACCATATTGAGCAATGCAATGTTTTTTATTTCCTCATTTAAAAAGTTTTTATTTTTAAAACAGCATGGGAGAGGGTACAGAAGGAAGAAAAAAGGGTGGGTGTCGGGGAGGGGAGTATTCACTCTAGTACAATAATTAGCCACATTAACAGTTGGATCAAAAAGGTACAGTATCTATGAATAGGTACAATGGTAATGTAGCAGAATGGACACGTGCAAGCTACTTTTTATCCCCTATATTGTCTGTCCGTATCTTCCCCCTGTTATTTAGTGTATTTTTCCCTGGTTATTTCGTGTGGTTCTTCTTTGGCCGCTCGGGAGACTTCATACGAACAGAATCAATTCGTCTCCCGAACAAGGACCACCCCTGTGTCCCATTAGAACATTAACACCAACAATTTAAGTGGGAAACCGGAAGGGAAATAATGAGTGCTTCTCCTTGGTGGCCGCCATTTCGTATAACCAAACACGTGCCTAAGAGAATGGCGGCCATCTTGTCTCCCGAACGAGGGCAGCGGTACTTGGTCATCAAATGCCTGGAAATATTTTCGGCTAGGCACTCGCGCGAACACTGGTAAACTTTCAACCGCTGCCCTTCCTGTTCCTGATCACTCACACGAACGGCGTTCGGGAGATATAATCTACCGAACAGGGGGAGCATTCGTACCCAGAAAGCGAGAGATTCCCTTGCATGGTTTTCGCACGTAGACCGGCCAAGACACATATTTCCCTGGAACTATTTTGGGCCTGCGCCTCATGTCTGGCCGGTCAAAACTTCCACAGGATGGCGTTCTCGTTCTACCGAACAGATCTGAGTGATTCTTGGATACGTTGGTCACTCAGATCGGGGAATGTGTTTTTTTTTTGTGTAACCAGCGGAGGAGAGTCCCTGCTAGGACTAGGGCTCCACTACAGGTACAAAGTTATTTAGTAAGGTCAACTTCAACTGAGCTGTGTTGCTCACCTAGATGTCTCATACATGTAGTAGGGTTATACAACGTAATAGGGTTATACATTGTAAGTATAGGCAGGTAAATCGGCATAAAAATAGTAGGAATCGTCTTGCATACCATACTTATCAAACATAGTATACATAGGACAATACCTTAAATAATGGAGCTCATGAAATGTGCTATATATGTATTCACCAAGACCCTTGTTATACAGAGCCTTAGGCACCAGATCTCCATGTGTCCCAATTTTGCCATGAAGCTCGGGAAAGGGGGAAAGTTGACCTGTAGGAGGATTCGTATGTTGTGTATCTAGATCTTTAACTCCTTAAGGACACAACTTCTGGAATAAAAGGGAATCATGACGGAATATTTCCATCATGTGTCCTTAAGGGGTTAATTACCTCGGGCACTTTTGGGGGGTGGGCGGACTTCCATGATCTGTGGTGTTGGCAATACTATATTTTCACATAATCCCAATTATCCACATATACATGGATTTATAATTTACCTCTTGAACACATCTTATCTGCCGCACACATATACATGCACACCTAATTAATCATTTACATCCACCTAATATGCACATGTATACAAACTGCTAATGAATGAATACTTATTAAATTAGCAATATACTCACACATAGAAGTATATTCAAATACATCTAACTGCAACGGTGCCAGAAGAGAGGCTCATGAGATGCATTGAATTTTAAAAATGCAGAGGTTCTCCACACTGGACTATCAGGGAATGGCAAGATGTCCCAAATACATGCCCGAAGGTAATCAGAGGGAGTGAATCCATCACTTTCAGGTAAATACGACGAGGCAGCTGATGTTGATTCCAACAAAAGGTTTTGCAGAGTATTTTGAACAGTGGAAGAAATGCTGGGAGAACTGTGTGACGTCCCAAGGTGCCTACTTTAAAGGGCACTGAGGGGTCATTGTCCTATGTACAATTTTTTTGTATCTTGTAATTTACTAAATTAAGAATTGTTCATATTAAATTTCAATTTTAAAGCCAAATTAGCTGCATTGCAAAAAATAACCTTCAAGACAGCAAAACCTAAAATTTGTCTATGTTGGCTTTAATTTGAAATTCACTTTGAATTCTTGACAATTCTCACTTAAATGGGTCATTATCAAGACTACTGTCAACCCATAAACGTGCATATTTATAAGAAAAAAAAACATACCATAATAATTACCCTTCCCAATAAAAGCATTTAAACCCCGTGACTACTGTATATCAGGACCTAGAACTGACGTATACGAAACCAGAACCCGTGTGATAGGGCGCACCATGTGATGTGTGGAAATGTGCATATAGCAGTTGCTATGACGACTAATGTACCAATGTAAATCCGTGATACCAAGGTGTGAACCAAGTGAAAGATCTCAAATAAATATGCAATTATACATGCAATATTCCAAACATGGAGAAAAACATTTACATAAACACAATGATCATCAAAGGCAAACACCTGAATAGGATGTACCACATGATATACAAGAATGTGAATGCAACGGTTGCTATGGCGACCTACATACCAGCGAGAGTCTGTGATTACCAAGTATTAAATACGTACAATAGAAACCACCGTAATCGTATAAAATTGTATATGCAATATCCTAGACATGAAGAAAAATGCACATAAACATGATAACCATAAAAGGGAGAATCACTATTATCTGAATAAGGCAAACACCCTTATTCTAAAACGTATAATAAAATAATAATTGACAGTTTTGGATAGTGTTTACCATTATTATATTTGACCTTTTTTTTTTTTAGAATACTTCATGTACAATTGCATATTTATTAATATCTTTCACTTAGTTCAAGCTTTGGTATCACTGATTTACATTGGTACGTAGGCCATCATACCAACTGTTGTATGTCTGTTTCCACACATTACATGGCGGGTCCTATAATGCTTTTTTTTTATTGGAGATACATGGTAATAACAGGAGTTTGAATGTTTCAGTTGGTATGTGCACTTATTTTACTCTGTTATTTTTCTTGTAAATATGTATGTTTTGGGTTGGAAATCGTCTTGATAATGACCCAGTATGGTCAAAACGTTAAACTGAATGCTTGTTTCATATATCATGTTTGAATTGTCACACAATAATCACGTTTTGGGATACTTGTGAGTGCTACCGTTATTAGATATTATACATACCCGTGTACCTTTGTGTGAATGTGTGTATAACTGTAAGTGCCTGTGTGTGTCTGTCTGTGTGCCTATAATCTTTTCGTATCGGCCTGTGCATGCCTGACGGTATGTCGATGTCTCGCTTTGTGTGTGACTGAGTTGTGCATGTCTGTGTGTATGTAAATAACAGTGAGTGTGCAAAGAGGCGTGTTGGGTAGGGGCCAGGTGTGGTCACCAATTTATTTTTTTGGGTTCAAGCCCCAGGTGTTTTTTGACCATAGCTTTGAACTTGAGTAACTGACAATAAAGATACATATGCAGATCATTAGAAACTCACTTACATCGCATGCTGCACAAACTTTAAAATGTCTAATAAGCCACAAACCAGTCACACACAATAATACTCATATACCAGGTCACCAACACAGAGTCACATTCAACTCACATAGAGGACACAAACGATAAGACTCGCAACAAGGACTCAGATAAAAATATGTCCTTGCATTAACATACAAGGATTCACAAAAAGGTCACACACAGATGTACATAGTATTCTAAACACAGATCTATCTAAATAGCAGACACTCACCGATACACAAGGATGCACGTTCTCATAATTACAAAAAGACACGTTCATGTGTAATTTATCTTCATTTTGTCCATTTCCTGTCCTTGCTACACACCATTCTTGGTGGTGCAGAGGGAAGGAGAGGGGCTACAGAGTTTCCTGTACCTAGTGCCTAGGTTCTGTGTACAAGTGCCAAGAAAGGCTAGTGAAATAGCTCAGTGGGTGAAATAGCTCAGTGGGCTAATGCAACAGCAAAATCTGTTCTAACCCCTTCATCCTTCTGAGGTAGATAAAATGAGTACCATTAAATTGGGTGATAGTAACAACCCCTGGATGTTGGGCTAAGGTAACATCCCCAGGACATACTTGGAAACCAGAGCAATCTGAATGTACCTTTCCTGGTTAAACACTTTGTTATTATTATTACCTTAAATGCCAGCACCCACTTCCTATTGAGTGAATGTGTTACAGGGGTCTTATCCACATCCTCACCAGAAACATTAACAGGTGCCAGGGCAGTTACACATCTTGGGAGGTTGCCACATAATGTTAAAAAAATTAAACAAATAATACAATGTATGACTTGTTAATAGTGGCATTTTAGCATCCATATCCATGCTTCCTAGGTCCACCTGACCCACTGAAACCCCTTTTTGGGCAGCCTTGCTAGTTGTATCAAGCATTCATAATATAAACTGTTACAAAGAGATATGAGCTATATTCAACTCTCACGTACTATTGAACTGCTGAGTGTAAATAGTCATATTGAATCTTTACAGTGTCATTTTCTCCTCCCCACAATTGAAACCCTTGCAAGATCACAGTGGGGTTTACTAAACAGGGAATTGTGGCAAACTGGTCATAGTACTAAACGGTCGAAATGGTCGTTTAGGCAAATATTGTGACTGGTGTCTTTCAAACCATCCATACAGCAATTTAAAGGGACACTATAGTCACCTGAACAACTTTAGCTTAATGAAGCAGTTTTGCTGTATAGAACATGCCCCTGCAGCCTCACTGCTCAATCCTCTGCCATTTAGGAGTTAAATCCCTTTGTTTATGAACCCCAGTCACACCTCCCTGCATTTGACTTGCACAGCCTTCCATAAACACTTCCTGTAAAGAGAGCCCTATTTAGGCTTTCTTTATTGCAAGTTCTGTTTAATTAAGATTTTTATGTTAATAGCTTGCTAGACCCTGCAAGAGCCTCCTGTATGTGATTAAAGTTCAATTTAGATATTGAGATACAATTATTTAAGGTAAATTACATCTGTTTGAAAGTGAAACCAGTTTTTTTTTTTTTCATGCAGGCTCTGTCAGTCATAGCCAGGGGAGGTGTGGCTAGGGCTGCATAAACAGAAACAAAGTGATTTAACTCCTAAATGACAGTGAATTGAGCAGTGAAATTGCAGGGGAATGATCTATATACTAAAACTGCTTTATTTAGCTAAAGTAATTTAGGTGACTTAGTGTTCCTTTAATTGTTTTAAAACGGATATTAAAATTTTTTAAATCTTAGAGGCCAATCGAGTTAAAAATAACAGTAATCTGTTGGGATTATTTTGGTTTTGTCATCTTTGTCTACTTGTCTCTTTTTAATGTGTCTATATTTGAATTTGTAATAAGCATAAAATATGCAGATGTTTATGTATATTATGGATTTAAATTGAGGTAGAGAATTGTGAATTCAAATTTATTCATGATGTATTACATAACTGAATGTGCATCCAGCACCAAAGTGCATACAGTCAGAGTGAGAGCGGCGCAGTGCGCACAGTCGGCGGGAGCGGCGCAGTGCGCACAGTCAGAGGGAGCGGCGCAGTGCGCACAGTCAGAGGGAGCGGTGCAGTGCGCACAGTCAGAGGGAGCGGTGCAGTGCGCACAGTCAGAGGGAGCGGCACAGTGCATACAATCAGAGGGAGCCTGGGAGAGCAGCACAGTGCATACAGTCAGTGGTAGAATGGGAGAGCAGCACAGTGCATACAGTCAGTGGTAGAATGGGAGAGCAGCACAGTGCATACAGTCAGGGGAAGCATGGGAGAGCAGCACAGTGCATACAGTCAGTGGAAGCATGGGAGAGCAGCACAGTGCATACAGTCAGGGGAAGCATGGGAGAGCAGCACAGTGCATACAGTCAGGGGAAGTCACAGTGCATACAGTCAGGGGAAGTCACAGTGCATACATTAAGAGAGAGCAGCACAGTGCATACATTCAGAGAGAGCAGCACAGTGCATACAGTCAGAGACAGCAGCAAAATCAGAGAGAGCCTGGGATAGCAGCGCAGTGCATACAGTCAGAGAGAGCTGCACAGTGCATACAGTCAGTTGGAGCCTGGGAGAGCAGCACAGTGTATACAGTCAGAGGGAGCATGGGAGAGCAGCACAGTGCATACAGTCAGTGGTAGCATGGGAGAGCAGCACAGTGCATACAGTCAGTGGTAGCATGGGAGAGCAGCACAGTGCATACAGTCAGGGGAAGTCACAGTGCATACATTAAGAGAGAGCAGCACAGTGCATACATTCAGAGAGAGCAGCACAGTGCATACATTCAGAGAAAGCAGCACAGTGCATACATTCAGAGAAAGCAGCAAAATCAGAGAGAGCCTGGGATAGCAGCGCAGTGCATACAGTCAGAGGGATCCTGGGAGAGCAGCACAGTGTATACAGTCAGAGGGAGTCTGGGAGAGCAGCACAGAGCATACAGTCAGAGGGAGCCTGGGAGAGCAGCACAGTGCATACAGTCAGAGGGAGCCTGGGAGAGCAGCACAGTGCATACAGTCAGAGGGAGCCTGGGAGAGCAGCACAGTGCATACAATCAGAGGGAGCCTGGGAGAGCAGCACAGTGCATACAGCCAGAGGGAGTCTGGGACAGCAGCACAGTGCATACAGTCAGAGGGAGTCTGGGAGAGCAGCACAGTGCATACAGTCAGAGGGAGCCTGGGAGAGCAGCACAGTGCATACAGGCAGAGAGAGCCTGGGAGAGCAGCACATTGCATACAGTCAGAGGGAGCCTGGGAGAGCAGTACAGTGCATACAGGCAGAGAGAGCCTGGCAGAGCAGCACAGTGCATATAGGCAGAGAGAGCCTGGGAGAGCAGCACAGTGCATACAGTCAGAGAGAGCAGCACAGTGCATACAGTCAGAGAGAGCCTGGGAGAGCAGCACAGTGTATACAGTCAGAGGGAGCCTGGGAGCGCAGCACAGTGCATACAGTCAGGGGAAGCCTGGGAGAGCAGCACAGTGCATACAGTCAGAGAGCCTGGGAGAGCAGCACAGTGCACACAGTCAGAGGGAGCCTGGGAGAGCAGCACAGTGCACACAGTCAGAGGGAGCCTGGGAGAGCAGCATAGTGCATACAGTCAGAGGGAGCCTGGGAGAGCAGCACAGTGCATACAGTCAGAGGGAGCCTGGGAGAGCAGCACAGTGCATACAGTCAGAGGGAGTCTGGGAGAGCAGCACAGAGCATACAGTCAGAGGGAGCCTGGGAGAGCAGCACAGTGCATACAGTCAGAGGGAGCCTGGGAGAGCAGCACAGTGCATACAGTCAAGAAGAGCCTGGGAAGCAGCACAGTGCATACAGTCAGAGAGCCTGGAGAAACAGCACAGTACGCCTACAGTCAGAAGAGCAGCACAGTGCATACAGTCAGAGAGCCACAGGAGAGCAGCACAGTACGCCACAGTCAGAAAGGAAGCAGCACAGTGCATACAATCCAGAAACCTGGGAAACAGCACAGTGCATACAATCAGAGAGCCTGGGAAGCAGCACAAGTATACAGTCAGAAATTACAGTGTATACAGTCAGAAATGCATTTTGCCACAATCAGAAAGGAGCCTGGGAAGCGCAGCACAATTACATACAATCAGAAGAGCTGGAAACGCACAGTATACAATCCAGAAATCACAGTATATACAGTCAGAGGAAGTCACAGTGCATACAGTCAGAGGCGCAGGAGGCACAGAGTATACAGTCAGGAAGTCACAGTGCATACAGTCAGAGAGAGCCTGGGAGAGCCAGCACAGGTGCATGCAGTCAGAGAGGAGCCTGGGAGAGCAGCACAGTGCATACAGTCAGAGGGAGCCTAGGAGAGCAGCACAGTGCATACAGTCAGAGGGAGCCTGAGAGCGCAGCACAGTGCATACAGTCAGAGGGAGCCTGGGAGAGCAGCACAGAGCATACAGTCAGAGGGAGCCTGGGAGAGCAGCACAGAGCATACAGTCAGAGGGAGCCTGGGAGAGCAGCACAGTGCATACAGGCAGAGAGAGCCTGGGAGAGCAGCACAGTGCATACAGTCAGAGGGAGCCTGGGAGAGCAGCACAGTGCATACAGTCAGAGGGAGCCTGGGAGAGCAGCACAGTGCATACAGTCAGAGGGAGCCTGGGAGAGCAGCACAGTGCATACAGTCAGAGAGAGCTGCACATTGCATACAGTCAGTTGGAGCCTGGGAGAGCAGCACAGTGCATACAGTAAGAGGGAGCCTGGGAGAGCAGCACAGTGTATACAGTCAGAGGGATCCTGGGAGAGCAGCACAGTGTATACAGTCAGAGGGAGTCTGGGAGAGCAGCACAGAGCATACAGTCAGAGGGAGCCTGGGAGAGCAGCA